ACATAAAGTGGCATATTTGAGCCAATGTACATAATGAAATTGTTAAACTAGTTAAATAATAGTCATACAGCTTTAATATGGCGTCCAGCTGAGTTTCAGTATTAGGCTAAGTTTACAACCTAACGTATTAGCGTAGCGAGAATACATAAAAATCGCTTCTAACCAACATTTACACAGTCTTTGGTGTTTATCGCTGTGCAAGCAAATAAAAATTATGCAGTTTGTTAAAAAAGCTTTTTCTCATACTTAAAGCCCAAATAAATAAAAAATATACATATGTACATATTTATATAATAAATTAAACATCTCTTCTACTGCTATTATATACAATACAATATGCTTAAGTTTCGGTATAAATTGTCAAAGGGTTTTGGAAACAAAAAAAGTATATTAGGGGAATCCCTACGTAGCAATGTATCACACGTTTTGTCGCTTTCCCAACAACAAAATATGTGCTAGATTGGTACGTAGCAACTTTAAATCTAAAATGCTACTCATCGTAAACTCCCCTATTATACAAAATTAGTCGTATAATTTTGCTACAATTTAAACACTAGCTACTTTTTTAATCGCCAGCGATTATGCTGGCGAAGAAGTTTCTTTGGATTGAGCGATTTCCATTGCATCGGGTAACGCTATTACTCTAGGTTGTGAACTTAGCCTTACTTTTATAATACTTTGAAAATATGGTCGTCGTTGAAAACTTACACAGACTCTTGAGTTTGGCACAAAAATATTTACCAAGCCAAGAACGGTGTATTTATTTTGCCCTAGACACAATTCAGTTTGAGAATTTGGTATAGAAAATGTTTCTTGTCAAAGTTGACAGAAGTTTAAGCGCCTACCACACGTCCATTATTCGAACGCAAACGCGTACGTATACATTTCAACATGTTTTGTTAACGTTCGCGTACGAAAAGAAGAAATCAAACCAGTGTTCGCCTATGTTATGTAGAAAAAATTCTCGCTGTTGTTGTACTCGTATGTACTATGAAACTTATAGCTGCATTTGTGAAGGCACGATGTTGAATCATTAGTACCCAAACAAACTTTAAGCGTGTAGGGGTGCCTTATTGATGCATATTTCACCACAGGTGTATTAAACATACCAACCAGTGTTACCACTCGACAATATTTTTAGGAACAAAAAATCCTACCAAATCAGTTTCCAAACTACCAATTTTTTTTAATCATCAGATATTGATATTTTATTTCGTTTCTGATTTTACTTCATGTAAAAGTATGAGTCTTTGAGATTAATTCAATTTATATCAATTATTTTATGTCTCAAATGTTAAAAAATACAATCGATATAAACATTTTATATTTGGTAACAAAAAAAAATGTATTACTGTGCTCGCGCAGTTTTATTTTTATTTATTTGTTTTCATTTAACCATGATGCAATAAAATTACGGAATGTCAGCAACATAATCTTAATATTTCGGTACGAGTTTTAGGCCATTTTAGCACGCTTTCAGTACGCTTTTCTACTTTCACATCACCATTGTATTACCGCCATTCGACAAAATTTATTTACAATTTTTACAAATGTTCTAATAAACGAATACTATGCAACAACAGCTCACTGCGTTTTTGACATTTCGAATAGGATTTATTTTCTATTATAACTTCAAAACTTCGATAGGATTGCAAAACATCTTTAAAATTTGGAACCGGAAATTCAAATCGAAGAGAAATCAATTTCGAACGAAACCAGAACAGCCCTGAAATGAAACTACCAATTTATCAAAACGGCAACACTGATAGCAGCTCTACTTGTGGTATGTATAATAAGCTCATATTAAAACAGGCAGTGTATTATGTACACACACACTAGCTTCGTTTCTTTACTTTTCTAGCAGATCATTATCAGGAAGAAGAATGGGAAGAATTAGAGAATTACGCTCACAGCGAGTGAAATGTAAAAAAAAGTCAAGAAACGCAAACTATCAGAAACTAGCTAGTAAACACCTGACCGATGCTTTTGACAACTGAACATATGTATTTGCTGCGAATTTTTAATCGCATTTTATGTTTAAAAATTGTTCACAAATACTCAGGTTTTGCCACACTTTATCAAATTTAATAAATCGCCAATTTTTATCAAAAAATACAAAAATATGTAAAAGAAGCAAATCAAAGTAGCTGTGCCTAATCTCTCTAATGTTGGAGCAACAGCTGAATTTTTCACCGCATAACGTGAAAATTATGTGTTTCTTGTAATTTGCTTTTGTAATTTTTTTACTTATATTCGGCTAACACTACCTTGTGTAAATGCGCCTATCTGTAAAGAAACAAAGCTACCTTGTGGTGTATTCAATATTCATTTTTTGGTGAATTCTTTGGTCCCCTGTCAATTGCTCTCAGAATTTGTGATGTGCTGAGTCGCTACTTTTAAGTATTGATCGATACTCGGTACCGATTTAAAAAGTATCAAATATTTTCGAAGCTCGGTACCGAGATCTTGGAATTTCTAATAAAAGCGCGCAACAGCCAAAAATATGAGTTATATGTACACATACATATAGTGTCAGCTATTAAAAATAAATAATATTGCCACCAGAATTATTGCAATTGGAAAGACGGTTGCGATAAGTAAAAGAAGGCGAGAGTGTGTTTTGCGACATCAGTATCAGGGCGAATTTAATAAGGTGGTGTTACAGGAGTATCTGAATTTTTCGCCGTGGAGGACATTACATCAAAATTACGTGTTTGTTGTAGTTCATACTAATGACAGTATGAATATCTGCGTATAATTTGTTAGTGTAATTTTTTACTTATATACGGCTAACACCACCTTATTAAATTCGCTTTGATCATTATTGTGCAGATTTAATTGCCTGCCTTGTTCGACGCACACATTATACTTTGCTTCACTTAACTACATACATACAAACACATTGCTCATCTCTTGAGAAAGGAACGTCTTATTTGTACATTTTGGGTTTTTAGGCGATGTCTTATAAAATATCAATAATTTTTACCCCCAAAAGTAGCCTATGTCGAGATAGCTCCTTTTCCCTTTAAAGCCCCATTTCATTGGACTCCCAAAAAATATTTTAACGTTTAACTAGCCAAAGATGTAGTTCAAGATGCCCCTATAATAGAATCTTAATTAAAATATAAAACAATTTCAAAGGAAACTGATTTTTTTTAAATTCAAAGTCAATCCATCTAAAGTGACTTAAGCTACTTTAATTGAACGGCACAGATATAATGACGAAAGTTTAGTGTGTCGAATCGGTATCGGGTACCGAATTTTTTTTCAAGTATTGGGTACCGAGAATTCAGCACATCACTACTCAGAATGTCGCCTGAATAATTTTAATGACATTTGTTAACGTGGAGGGAGCTATTTGTGAACCAAATGAAAAAAGTGGCGCATTTTAGGAGCTGGTGTAGTTTTCGTACTAATCTCAATGAATAAATAGTACCAAAATGTTAAAGGTAGTGTAGTATATCAGAATAAGTCACTAACAACAACAAAGCCACACGCCTGTGTTATGCATTTTTGCAGCATAAACAAATTCCTTACTTTGTTATTTTCACACGCTAAACACACAAGCGGCACAAGCTATATCTGGTGCATGCGCTAGCTCTATGTATGTAAATATGTACGACTGCGCTGTTAGCACCTTCACGCTTGGTACATGTAGGTATGTCTGTGGATGCATTGCTTGTAGCTCCACATTAGAAATGGTTGT